TGGGCAGGCCGGCCTTTGTGGCCGCGGCGCACGTGCGGTGGCCTGGGCCGGGGTCGGCCATGCGGCGCCCATCGGCCGCAGTCACGCGGACTGCCGTTCCTTTGCAGAACCATCGGGATGGCTGCCCAGGGAGAACCGCAAGTCCAGTTTAAGGTGCGTGGTGGTCGTGGCGGGGGGCGGCTCTGCCGGGCCGAGCAGGGCGGGCGGGTGTTGTGTGCTTTGTGTGCTCCGTCAGCGTCCCCGACGCTTGGGCCGTGCTGGCCGGACGGGGCAGACGGGGGCACTCCGCAATGCCCCACGTCCCGGGCTCCTGCGGGCCGACCACCGTTAGGGTGGAGGGGAGGCCGGTGTTGGGAAAACTGTCGCCCGTGATTCGCTCGCGTCGCTTCGGTGTAACGGGACCACGGAAGAGCTCAATGTGCCTGTCGGCTAGTCAGTTAAAATGGTGTCCAAAGAATTGTGAGAACAACGTAACTCCGGGTCATCGCTTTGAGTTGTGTGTGTGTTGTGTTTTGTTTTTTAATATCCCAACAGCTTGTATTGGTTGGTGATGGTGGTACTGGGAAAACGACATTTGTGAAACGTCATCTGACTGGTGAATTTGAGAAGAAGTATGTAGGTATGTGGGGGCGAGAAGAGGTTTCATGGGAATGTTTCTGAAATGTGTGATTCGTTGATTAATCTGAAGTGTTTATGTTTCAGCCACCTTGGGTGTTGAGGTCCATCCCCTTGTTTTCCATACTAACAGAGGACCGATTAAATTCAATGTGTGGGATACGGCTGGTCAGGAGAAATTTGGGGGACTGAGAGATGGCTATTACATCCAAGGTAGGTTTCTCATTTATGATTGGAACAGTTTAGAGGATGATTATGGACTTCAGTCTCCAAGGTCTATTCCAGCAAACGCTGGCTTAATTCTGAGTACTGGGAATTAAAAGAATTTTTAGACAGAAAAAGACATGCTGCCTACAGGGAGTTGACCATTTAGGTGGACGAAGTTAGGAAATATTATGAATGTTGTGCTTTGTCATTGGATTCCTTGCTTTGTCATACTAGGCATTGTTTTGCGGGGGTGGGTAGCTACGTGACTTATACTGAGACAAAATTTAAAAACTAACAATGAGCAACAGACCAGCTGTTGATGAAAGTATTCAGAAACTTGGGTACAGGTATGTATTTTGGTTTTTATCAAGGATCATTTCTTGTCCATTCCATTTTAACTACTCTGACCAGATACTATATCAGAGGTGCTAGGTTTTGTATCTTACAAATACAGTATAACGCCAATTTCTTTACTTATTTGTACTAATTCTTGCAGAATATTTTTTCCAGTGTGTTTGAGAATGGTACGGGAAATAAATGCTCTTTGTGGCACCAAACAAAACAAAGATGAATAAAAAAAAATATATTCTCTGGAATCTTACTGTCCTGATGCAGAATTGTAGGGAATCTTTCCATGTCCTTTGCTTGAGCATGTACAAATAAATACTGTGGTTTGTGTAATACATATCTATCTATCTATACTTAGATAGATACATAGCTCTCTGTATTTGGGGGGAGAGGAAGTATAGGAAGAGAGATTTATATATAATGGTTAGTTGGTCTTTCAAGCTGTCAGATTTTAAGACTTGAAAGAGCACTTGAAGTTGAGAGATCTAGATAGCATAGTGCCTAAGGCACTTGACTGCTAACCAGAAGGCTGGCGGTTCAAACCCACCAGACACTCCTGGGAAGGAAGGTTGGGCAGTCTACTTCTGTAGTGATAATGCCTCGGAAGCCCAAGGAGGGGTCACTATGAGTTGGGTCCGACTCGATGGCACATAACAACAGATAACCCAGAATAGGCCTGTGATAACAGTGTCATTCTAGTCCGTGGCCCTTTGCATTTCTCACGTGTACTAAATTTCCAGGTGTGCACTAATCATGACAAATTTTCCTTTCAGCTCAGTGTGCCATAATAATGTTTGATGTAACATCAAGAGTCACTTACAAGAACGTGCCTAACTGGCATAGGGATCTGGTTCGAGTATGTGAAAATATCCCCATCGTGTTGTGTGGCAATAAAGTGGACATTAAGGACAGGAAAGTTAAGGCAAAATCCATTGTCTTCCACCGAAAGAAGAATCTTCAGGTATGCTTATACAATTTACTGAGTAGAATTTTGAGGTAAAATTATATATAGGTTTGTGATACTGATTTATAAAAATGTCTTTTATATATGGGTTGGAAATTTTTCTCCTAGCTTGGAATGTCTCCTAGAGTAATTGTTTAGTAACTTTTTTTAAAAACACTAACTTTACTTTTTTTTGAAACAGTACTATGACATTTCTGCCAAAAGTAACTACAACTTTGAAAAGCCCTTCCTTTGGCTTGCTAGAAAACTAATTGGAGACCCTAACTTGGAGTTTGTTGCCATGCCTGCTCTTGCCCCACCAGAGGTTGTCATGGACCCAGCTTTGGCAGCACAATATGAGCATGATTTAGAGGTATCGCATTAAATTTCCGTTAATGCTCTTGGATTTGGCATATTACTTTCCTAACGATTTTAATCTGATGTGTTATAACCATTTATTCTCTTTCTCTAGGTTGCACAGACAACTGCTCTCCCGGATGAGGATGATGACCTGTGAGAGAGCGAAGCTGGAGCCCAGCGTCAGAAGTCTAGTTTTATAGGCAACTGTCCTGTGATGTCAGTGGTGCAGCGTGTTTGCCACTTCCTTGAGTTTCAAATATAAGACTGCTAAAGTCACATCGCAATACTCAGTGGTGAAAGCTTGTTTGTTACTGTCATTCCCATTCCTTTAAGTTTAGAACAGAATAAAGTTGTATTTCAAATATCTAAGCAAGTGAACTCATCCGTTGTTTGTAAAATTTAAAAATAACTATTACGGGAATTTGTGGCAGGTTACTTTTTAAAAAGCCTTTGTTGTCATGCTTAATTAGAAGCCAGTTAGGATAAATATTCCCATTGTCTACTTAAAGATGTTGTACATTTGAATCATCACAAAACGGCTGAGTATGACAAAGGATTGAGTAACAGATGAAGTATGAATAGCATCAGTGCAGTTAGGCCAAAGTCCATCCACCTTGGTTTTGGCAAAACTAGCACCTAGTGAAAGGCTTTAAGATTTTTGTGTGAGTTATCAGTAAAGATGGTGTGTGGTTTGGATGTATCAAATAGACACTTCAGGAGTTGATTTTATAGCACAGGTAACCCTGTTCTCAGGTAGAGCTCCAAGTTGGACAGCACCACACAACCTGTTGTCAGTAGGCGCTCAAGGAAGTCTCAGCTTAAACAAGGGTGTGATTTGTATGTATGTATTTTGTTTTCCTATTAAATAGTGGAAAATTGATAATCTAGGGAGAACTTGCTGGCTTCAAGTACTTTGAAGATTGAGGATTTAAGCAGGACACATTGTAGCTTTTAATGATCCCACCACCACCACCAAGAGACTTTGGTTGGTAGTACAAATAGGGACACAAAGACAAGATGGGAAAGTGGAGAACGGAGTGGATTTCCCAGGAGCGTGAAATGGAGACTGCCCAACTTGCAGCACTTCAAACATTTATTTTTGCATGGTTTCCACATTAAGTGGGAAGTAGGTTTGTCTGCCCAAGAGTTTGACTTCATAGGCACTATACTGGAAGAAGTAGGAACTGGGCCAGTTTGCCAAACTTGTAGATGTCCAGTTATCGTAGATGACAACATTGCTGATTTAAAAGACATAGGAAGGAAACCACTTAAGATGAAAGAAAGGATGAGATGACCATTGAACCAGCAGTTAAATTCCTTGCTTAAAAGCCTATAATGGATACAAACCTGCATCCCCTAATGCAACCATTTGTTCTGCTCTTTGGATGTAATATGTAAACGTGTTCGATGTGTGACCTTGTAGATAACACAGGTAAAGCACTCCTCACATCCTAAGTCTTAGGTAACAAGCTATTGCACTTAGCCTATTGGATGTGGGGCAGGAGAGCTTTTACAAGTCAGTTGTTGAAATGTTCTAAAAACACAGCTTCTGTTTGCCTGGATTTCTGAATCTTTTGGAGTATTTGAATACTGTAGGAGTAATGAGTAGTTAACAAAGATTAACATGCTTGGGGGGCATATATTTCTATGCAGTGTGTAGAAATGGTATCTACCAGGCAAAGCTTTGAATAAAGCCTGCATTATTGTTCAAACTGTAAACTAGAAAATTGTTTCTTAGAGCCAAAACACAACGGCACAGTTAATACGGTTTACACAGGTAGGATCTTTGGTGAGATTTGTAGGGATAAAATGGAAAGCATTTCTTGGGTTTGTGCCATACACATCTTTCTAAAGGTCTACGTAATGTATTAATCTAAGATTGTAAGAATCAACTACAAATTTAAAAAAAAAAAAACCCTGTAGGATGAAGGCACTCTGGTGGCATAGTGCCTAAGGCATTTGATTACTAACCAGAAGGGTGGGGTTCAAACCCACCAGCCACTCCTTGGAAGGAAGGTTGGGCAATCTACTTCCGAAGTGATAACTGACTTGGAAACCCAAGGGGAGGGGTCGCTATCAGTAGGATCCAACTTGACGGCGGAATAGGAGATAGCATAAACTCATGAATTCCTAGCTCTCTGGCGTTACGTTTGGTTTTTCTGCAGGATGGGTTCCAGGTAATATCAGTCTCAGTGAAATCTCTAGGAAAGAGTGGAGATTTCCCAAAAGTCCAATTTTGAGAGGACTTACTCCCTACTGAAAGATAAACTCAATGTAACTCAAGTTAGTGGAGTCTTTTGTAAAACTGGATCTTACTGATAAGATCTGAGCCATGTTAGGGCCTCCAGTTCCCTTACACAGTGACTTGGAATGGTAGCATAGTGCCTAAGGCACTTGACTATTAACCAGAAGGCTGGTAGTTCAAACTCACTAGCCACTCCTTTGAAGGTTGGGCAATCTACTTCTATAGTGATAGCGCCTCAGAAACCCAAGGAAGGGTCACTGAGTCAGGGCCGACTTGATGGCAAAATAACAGAGCTTGGAAAGGAGCTCTGGTGGCATAATGCCTAAGGCATTTGACTGCTAACCAGAAGGCTGGTGGTTCAAATCCACTGGCCACTCCTAGAAAGACCAGGCAATTTACTTCTGTAAAGATGTACTGCCTCGGAAACTCAATGGGGGTGCCTGTGAGTCAGAATTGACTCAATTTGCAGTGGATTTGGTTTTGTTTTAGGGTGCTTGGGAGAGCACCAAAAGTGTTGGGCTGGCACTGTCTTTTCTAATATTCCTTAGTCCCCCAGTCCTTGGAGAAGGACATGCTTGGTAAAGTGCAGGGTCAGAGAAAAAGGGGAAAACTTTCCATGAGATGGATGGACGGTGGCTGCAACAATGGGCTCAAGCATAAAGGATTGTGAGAGTGATGTAGGACTGGGCAGTGTCTGGTTCTGGTTGTGTTGTATGGGCGGTAACTGTGAGTAAGGGCCAACTCAAAGGCGCCTAGCAACAGCGAGTTTGAGAGAGGACTGAAAGTGTTGGCCAGGCACTGTCATTAACAGTCATTTAATCCCCCAGCATTTTCTAAGCTTTAAGTCATGTTGGGGGGCTAAAAAGATACCAAACTACCTTAAACATTCCCTTAGCCAAGAGCACAGAAGTCTCATCCAAACAGCAGGTCTGATGGTGTCTGGCATTGCTCCCCAGGGCCTGGTGAATGGGGCTCTGCTGCTTTCCCAGACCTGGGGAGCCATCCTTTACTTGGACGTGCCCTTGCTGTACCTTTACATTTTCCAGGATGCTCCTTCCCCCTTCACAGAAGGAAATCCTAACCCTTCATGCTTTGCAGTCTTTAGATCTCATATACTGGGTTTTGTCCTAACTAGGTCAAATTCCCTACTGTGACATCACTGGGCCTTCCTCAGAGGCCTAGTTGGAGGGCGATTGCATAACTTGTGTCTGCCTTACTAGTCAAATTGCCATGTGGGCAAGAATTGTGTCTCTTTTTTTGTCATTTCTCATGACCCCAATGCTTATTAGATTTCCAGTGGGTACCCTGAGCAGGAAGGGATTGAGGGTTTAAAGGTGGGGATGAGGTGAGGGTGGGCAGGGAGGATTGCATGAAAGCCCTCTGCTTTTTAAAGTTAGGAAGGCATTTCCCTCCTAGAGTTGGTAGTTGACAGGCTTGTCTGTGGATCCTGGCTTGTTTTCTTGGATAGAGGAACTGTGGGAAAGATGGATGGTGGGAACCTTGTCAGATTTAACTCATTGAGTTAAAACTGGTGTGGAGTCTGTCGTGCCATAGGGACATGAGGAACCTCGACTGGAATTGGTTTCCGATTCCCTGCCTTTAAAAAGCAAACTTATGAATAGCAGTGAAACAGTGTCTGATGTATTACTGGAAAACTTTATGAATAACCATGAAACTTTGTCTGATATAGTGGTGGAATGAGCCCCTCAGGATGGAAGGCACGCAGAATGTGATTGGGAAAGAGTTGCCTCTCAGAGTAGAGCTGACCTTAACGATGTGGATAGAGTAAAGCTTTCAGGACCTCCATTTGCTGATGTGGCACGACTCAAGATGAAACAGCTGCAAACATCCATTGATAATCAGAACATGGAATGTATGAAGTGTGAATCTAGGAAAATTGGAAATTGTCAAAAATGAAATGGAACACATGAAGATCGATACCTTGGGCATTAGTGAGCTGAAATGGACGGGTTTGGGCCATTTTGAATCAGGCAATCATATGATCTACTATGCCGGGAATGACAAATTGAAGAGGAATGGCGTGGCATTCATCATCACAAAGAATGTATCAAGATCTATCGTGAAGTACAATGTTGCCAGTAATAGGATAATAGCTATATGCCTACCAGGAAGATGAGTTAATACTACTCAAATTTATGCATCAACCGCTAAAGCCAAAGATGAGGAAGCTGAAGATTTTTACCAACTTCGGCATTCTGAAATTGATCAAACATGCAATCAAGATGTGTTGATTATCACGTGGTGATTGGAATGCAAAAGTTGGAAACGAAGAGTAACTGGTAGTTGGAAAATAAGGCCTTGGTGATAGAAATAACACTGGAGGTCGCATGATAGAATTTTGCAAGACCAATGACTTATTCATTGCAAATACCTTTTTTCAACAACACAAGTGGTAGCTATACATATGGACTTTACCAGATGAAGTACACAGGAATCAGATTGACTACATCTGTGGCAAGAGTCAGTGGAGAAGCTCAGTATCTTCTGCCAAAACAGGGCCAGGAGCTGACTGTGGAACAGACCATCAGCTGCTCATAGGCAAGCTCAAGTTGAAGCTGAAGACAAAAGAAGTCCACGAGAGCCAAAATATGACCTTGATTATATCCCTCCTGAATTTGGAGACTATCTAAAGAATAGATTTGATGCATTGAACACCAGTGACCGAAAACCAGAGGAATTGTGGGGTGACATCTAGAACATCATCCATGAAGAAAGCAAAAGGTCATTCAAAAGACAGGAAAGAAAGAAAATACCAAAATGGATGTCAAAAGGGACTGAAACTTGCCCTTAAATGGAGAGTAGCTAACGCAAATGGAAGGAATGACAAGATAGAAGAGCTGAAGAGAAGATTTCAAAAAGCAGCTCAAGAAGACAAGGTCAAGTAAAACGATAGGTGCACAGATCCATAGTTAGAATACCAAAAGGGAAGAACATGCTCGGCATTTCTTAAGCAAAGAACTGAAAAAATTTAAGTC